TGCAGAGGAAAATCGGAACGCGGCTAAGCGACATATAGCGTGCGTCACATTGCCGGATAAGCGGACCGTGACTACAAGCGCGGGCATATGCGAGGCCTTTCGGCTTTATTTCCAGGATCTTTTCACCAGGGAGCCCGGTCTGAGCTCTGCTCAGTTCGATGCCTATTTGGCTGACTTTCCCTGCCTTGAGGCAGCTGAAGCGGCTAGGTGCGAGGGTCCCATAACAGAGTCGGAAATCTGGGATGCGCTGAAGCAGGTTGGCCTGGATAAGTCTCCGGGACTAGATGGACTTCCCTACGAAGTGTACTTGAGGCTGTCGCCCGTTTTTGTTCCTTTGCTGCAGCTGATTTACAACCACTGGATGAGGCAGGGGTCTTTACCTCGACGCTTCACCAGGGGTGTGACTGTTGTTGCGTAAGGACAAGAACGGTGGGGATGGGTTAGGGAACTTTCGCCCTTTGACGATGTTAAATACTGACTTAAAGATTTTGGCGAAGATCTTAGCCAACCGTTTGCAGCTTGTCCTGTCTCGTCTGATTGGCCCCGAACAGACTTGTGCTGTGAAGGGCAGGACGATTCAGGATAACCTTCATATGGTACGCTTGATCTTAGAACAAGTCGACAGTGAAGCCGCGCTGATCAATTTAGATCAGTCCAAGGCCTTCGATAGGGTTGACCATCGGTTTCTGGAGGCTGTCCTGTCGGCGGCCGGTTTCGGAGCCGACTTTCGCTCCTGGATCCGGCTCTTGTATGCGACCCCGGTGCGCTGGTGGAAGTGAATGGGGTAAGGTCGGAGCCTTTCGTATTGTCTCGCTCCATTCGTCAAGGTTGTCCGCTATCGCCCTTGCTTTACGTTCTTGCGTTGGAACCATTCCTTCGCAAGTTAAAGGCGAATCCGGTCCTGCGCGGAATTACCCTGCCGGGCGCTACCACCTCGGCCAGGTATTCTGCCTATGCTGACGACGTTTCGGCTCTTGTGTCGAGCAGAGCCGAGATTGACGAAGTCAGCAAAGAAATAAGTGGGTATGAGATGGTGACAGGGGCCAGGATCAACCGTGATAAGTCTGTGGGCTTGCGGTTGGGTGCGTGGAAGGGTTTCTCTTCCCGGACCTTTCCTCTGGACGGATGGGCCGATCAAGATACTCGGCGTCTGGTTCGGTCCTGATCTCCAGTTGGAAATGAACTGGTCGGAGGTACAAGGAAGGCCGAGATCGCGGTTAATCTGTGGTCTCGGAGGAGACTTTCCCTGAAGGGAAGGGCGGAAGTATGTGTTTCACACATCTATCCGATCCTCCTCTACCGACTCTCTGTGCTTCCACTCCCGTATGCCCGACTAATGCAATTAGTCAGGACCTTGTTCTCTTTCTTGTGGAGAGGCAAGGCCCCTATGGTATCTCGCGAGGTCTGTTGCCTCCATCCCTCTGAGGGCGGTCTGGGGATGCCTAGCATTGAGATCCGTCAATATATGCTTCGCATTACCTTTTTAGACCGAATGTGTCGTGGGTCGAATGAGGAGGGTGCCTTTTGGAAAGAAGACGTCCAGAAACATTTTCCATCCCTGAAAAGTGTGCACTCGTGCGAACAAGAGGCCGGCCGTTTACCACGTGCCGAGTGCTCTTTTTATCGTGAATGTCGTCGCGCTCTGAAGCTCCTCTTACGGGTTTCGGATGGTCTCTCCAACGCCCAGGCGTTGTCTCGCAAGGCATTATATCAAGTTTTAGTTAGGGGGTCCGTACAAGATGATCTGATTGGCGAGCTCGGTCTTACGAAGCGGGAGGCTCGCTCGATATGGCCTTGGGCGCCCGGGTTGAAATGTCTCAATAACGATGAGGCATCACTCACCTGGCTGGTGATTCGTAAAGCCCTCTGGGTCAGCAAGAGACTTTGTTCAGCAGGCTTGGAGAATTGTCCAAACTGTCGTCGCTGTACGGGGGAAGTCGAGACTATTGGTCACGCCTTCTTTCAGTGCAGGGTGATAGTGCCGTTGTGCAAGTTTCTTGAGGGCCTCATGGTTCGCATGCTGCATGGAAAGGTTTTTTGTCCTGGATGCCAGAGCTGTTTGTAGCAATGTGGTGCCGCAGATGACGAAGGCTGAACACTATGTGTTCTGTTGCTTACTAGGGGTTATGAGAGTCGTGATTTGGACGACGCGTCAGAAGGGATTCCATGAGGGCGAGAAGTTCACTTCTTCCCAACTGATCTTGTTCTTTAAGCATCAGCTTAAAGTCAAGATCAGGACGGAAAGGCGGCGGCTCACCTCATCGGAATTCAGCAAAAGGTGGGTGATTCTTGCGCGAATGTGCCGAGTAAAAGGGGCTGACCTTGAGTGGCATTTGGATGCCGGTTAGGCATTAAGGATATTGTTTTCCTGGGTTGAACATAGGCAACCCATCCCGGAGTTAGGTTAGATTAGGTTTTTGTTTTTTTCTTTTAGTTTTTTCTATTCTGGTAAACTTAGCTAAGGTGTATTTGCTCATTGGTCCCCTTTTATTTCTGTCCCCTTTTTTTTCTTCCTTTAGTTTAACTCCCCATCCCCTCCCTCGTTTTTTTAGGTGGTCAGTAATGTCAGTTCTCTGGTAGATGTGGGGCGCCTTTCGTTTCGTGTGTGTGTTTTTCGTACTTGTTGTTGTGTATAAATGAGTGTGTGCCTGTGTGAGTGCTTGGGATGAATGAGTGTGGCTTTATTTTCATAAGTCCCGCATCGATTTCGTCCAGTTAACTGATATTTCTGCCACATTCAAGAGTTTGTGGGGGGTTTTATTACTAACACTAATTTTATTTGGTTTCTTGTAAATATATTTTGTCATTTTGTATAATTTCATTGGGGTTCATTTTTAAAAGTTGTTGTTTTTTATGCCCTCCCCCCACGGACAAATATTTTGTACATAAGGGGATTATTTAGGTTTTTTCATGGAGTCAAAGAGGCATTTTGGTGTTTGTAGTAAGAAAGGTATGGATAAATGTGTTGTTTTGGTGAAAGGAATATTGTTCTGTATGATAGGGTCAGTGATTGTGGCTAGCTAAGTTTAATCTAAGACTAGTGATGACCGTCCTTCACCCCAATCCCCTTTTCGGCCTTGTGCCACATTTGTACATATGTGCAATAAATAATAGATAGTAGAGATTAAGAGATTGAATCCAGAGACTCTGCCCGACTGCGATTTAGTCAACCCATTATGCAGGAACAGTCTTCCCAAGAATATACCAACTAACTGTAAATATTGTGTACCTATTCTTTGTTTCAATACATTTTGTTAACGTACATTTTGTGTTGTATTATTCCATGCTTATTTAAGCTTCAACACAATGGGATCACCTCTTAATCGAGTGATGGCATGAATTTTCTTATGATTTCTCGAATCTGTTCCTTTCCAAGATATTTTACCCAAACAATATATTGTTCAATTTTTTTGTTTAAATACTTTCAACTATCTCTCAGTCATTATCAAGAACTGCGTGTTATTTTGTTTGGTAGACAAGAATTTCTTGCTTACATAATGACATTTTTTGAACACTGGGATTCAATTTAATCCAAAGTGAACCGTAGCACTCGACCGCACCGGAAAAAAGTAACAAATACGTTTTATTATTTATTTATTTATTTTGTATGCATATTAAATATTTTATAACATTATTCGAAATAGCATGATCTGTAGTGAAAGATATTTTATTTAATGTGAATAGTTTCTTTCGTTGAATGATGGCTTCGAAAAATTTGAGTTTTTCCTTATAATGAGCCTCTATAATATTTTGTTATTATTCACTAATGTTCAACGTGTATATATATATATATATATATATATATATATATATATATATGTGCGTGTGTGTGTGCGTGTGTTTTGAACAATAAAAAATATAATAAAATTAAAATCTTCAGACACACTGGGTTGTATATTAATATTCTTTCGTTTATATTATTTAAATTAGATTCCTCGACTAGTTTCGGCCAGCATGGTCATCATCACGAGAAAAAAAATATTGTTAATACAATGAACAATATAGAAATATATATGTATGTGTGTGTGTGTGTGTGTGTGTGTTTGTTTAAATGTGTGTGTTTGTATTGTATAGAATATATATATATATATATATATATATATATATATAAAGATTACTAATAAATTCAGATGTAAATAGTTTTGTAAGAAAAAGGGGAAAAAGTCAGTTTAGCAAATGGATTAGAAACTGGCTTTAAATAAGTTTCAAAAAGTGAAAGCTGTTTTTTTTTCTCTAACAGCCAAAAAAACCAAAAAAACGCTGAACTTTAAAAAAGAAAGAATTTGGATTCCGGGTCAAAGGTGAAGTAAAAAAAAAGAAAAAAAAAGAACTGACATTATCTTCCTTTATATAAAAAAAATGTTCAGGAAAGGAAAAGCAGAAGCTGTGAAAGATATTGCAAGAATGAAGCTGAGAAGTGTACGAATTAATTTTAAGATACAGCTGCGAGCAAGAGACGGCTGGGCGCAGTTTTAGTAAAAGATTTTTTCATGGGTATAGTGAGGTGTTAGCTTAAAGGATGCAGGAATTAGTGGGAGTGGGTATCAAGGTGTGGGACGAGGTTGGTGGCATACATACACACACACATTCCCAAGTATATTTAGACAGATACACACACACATCCTTATCTATTTTACCATTTTCATTACCTTGCATGGAACTGGGTCAAAACCAGACCATATATAGAAGAAAGACGACTTCCTTTTTCTGCGAATCGTTCCCAGAGATACCCTTGTTAGGAAAACTGATGTTCGATGCTGTTTTTTACCTTCTTCGACTCTCCCAGACCCTAGACTTCCATATGCCAAAGATTACTGTACCAATTAAGCAGAGATGCAAAAAGATAAGAATTGGTGAAGGAAAGCAGAAAGAGAAAAGAGAGAGAGAGAGAGAGAGAGAGAGAGAGAGAGATGATTTATCTACAGGGATGGGCGGTGAGTGTTGGGGGTGGAGGCAACAGCTAACAGGACCTAAAGATGTGCATTCTAATGGAGAGGGCGATGAAGACAGAAGACAACGGCAACAACAAACGACCCTCTGAGTTAAAAATTCTTCCTTGTATGAGTTATAAACAAATTCAACAATCTATCTTTCATATCTATCTATCTATCTATCTATCTATCTATCTATCTATGTATCTTTTATTTCAGTCTATTCCTTATCTATATATGTATCTATCTTAGTCTATTCATATCTATCCAGCTACCTCACTCAATTCAAAACTATTATCTATCTATCTATCTATCTATCTATCTATCTATATAATATATATATATATAAGTCTATTCATATCTATTTATATATGTATCTATCTTAATCTATTCAGATCTATCCAGCCACCTCACTCAATTTTGAAACTATCTATCTATCTATCTATCTATCTATCTATCTATCTATCTATCTATCTATGTCTATTCATATCTATCTATGCAAAGTCTATTATCTATAAGAAGTCTATTCTCTATATAAATCACCAATTTCCTAATCAATTCATATATCTATCTATCTATCTATCTATCTATCTATCTAAAAATATTAATATTTATTCATATCTATCTATTTCAGTCTATTATCTATTTAAATAAATTCATATCTATCTATAACAAATAGAAATTAATATTATTATCTATCTATCTATTTATCTATCTATCTTATGTTTTCTGTCTCATTTTATTAGTTTATCTAAATTTATCTAAATATCTCTATCTATCATATTATCTATCTTATCTATCTATCTATCTATCTATCTATCTATCTATCTATCTTCCAGTTTCAAATCTATCATTTTAAATCTAAAAATATCTATCTATCTATCTATCTATCTATCTATCTATCTATCTATTTTTCAGTCTCTTCATATCTATCTATCTATCTATCTATCTATCTATCTATCTATCTATCTATCTATCTTCCAGTTTCAGTCTCTTCATATCTATCTATCTATCTATCTATCTATCTATCTATCTATCTATCTATCTATCTATCTGTCGATGTTTCTGTTTAATTAACTAGCTGCCTCGCAAGCTAACCCATTACTTATTGAAGTGCTTTCGACTCTTTATGGCGCAAATGTTAGAAAAGTAATCTCGCTGACCATTTCTTCTCTAGGGAGTTTGCCCTTGTATCAGACTTAAACGAACCTATCTATATTGATCTGTTCATAGCTATCTCGCCTGATCTATTCATTAGCTACAGTTACTGATCGAATGTCAATTATGAGAAGCGGTTTGAAAATTAATTTCAAAATTTAGCCATAATAAACAGATTTAATCCTTTGAACATTCCGCTTTCCGTACCTGTAAACATAAATATATCTGAATTAAAATTTGACATCCTTTAAAATAATCCAATTCTTTTATACACCTGACTCAAAGGATAGTTTTGTTTTTTTTAAACGTTTATTTAATACTAGCAATAATACCCAGCATTGCGTGGGTTTCTTTCTTTTGATCTGCTGTGTTACTTTCTTTGAGAGATCTGACTATAATCGTAAAATGTTCTTAGTGAAATCGTTGTAATTAAAAACAAATCGATAGGTTTAATTTTAGCATGATGTATAATTTATATTATTTGTCAGATTTTCAAAATCTACCATTAAAAATGACATCACCTCTTACTTCTTTTTGGTCATAGCTTATCTCCCTTGACTCCCAAGTTTCGATCTAACGTGGTTAAAATGTTTAGGGCAGCAAATGGCTTCATTTGAATAACAAACCAAGTTAATCACAAAAGGAATTAACAAACCAATCGCTTAACCCGAAAATACCAGATTGAAAAGTTTAAAAAAAAAGAAAAGATTTTTAAAGCTTAATATCCACATAAGTTGTCTACATTAATCAAGTGCTGCTAAGTTGGGCAGGTCTGTTAGATTTAAGCGATACAACAGTATATATTTTTTTTAATTTCATGTAATACTTGCCAGCATAGAAGCCATACTCGCCTGGAGAGACAAGCAACTTTCCATAACTTTAGTGTTTTCCCCTGAGTACATAATAATAACCGATGCTCGAGTTTATATCGTTCTTCCACTTCTCCATATATAATTCCATCAACAAAAACATTACTTTAGGGTGATGAAGTCCTTCTACAGGACGAAACGCGTTACACGGAAGTATTTTCACTTTGTCATTCAACGTCTAACATTGTCCTCATATTTTTTAGAAATTTATATATCATATTTCCAATATATATATATATATATATATATATATATATATATATATATATATATATATATTGTGTATATTTAGGCAGCATTTTTTCATTGATGCATGTTTCATTAAATAATAGTTTTGTCTATTTATTTTATGTAAATTCTTTTCATATCGTCTGATAAGCTTAATAACATTATCATTAAAAGAAGAAAGAAAATCACAATATTGATACATATTTTTTAATCCTATCTAAGCTTTCGGCTTACATAAGCCATTATCAAAGATGACAATTACATTACAATATATTAAACAATACAAGGACAAAACAATAATGATAGTCTGTTTA